GATAAGAAAAAGCTAAAGGAGTTCATCACCACCAAACCAGTATTATATGAAATGCTAAAAAGTATTCTTTTAGAAGAGGAAGAAGAAGAAAAAAGGTAAAGATAAAAATTATGAACAACAATTACATAACTATCAACTAGTGAATCTAAAAATCAAGTGAAAAATAATCTGATGAACAGAATAAACTGGTGAATATAATAGAATCAGGGGCATAGAAAGGGAATGGACTGACTAGTCTCAGGTGCTTGGGAGGAAGGGGTGTGGGGCGTGCGGGAAGAGACTGGACAAAAATCGTACATCTATGGATGAGGACAGTGGGGGAGGGGGGACGGTAAGGACAGAGGATGGGGTGGGAACCGGGTGGAGGGGAGCTATGGGGGGAAAAAAGAGGACAACTGTAATAATCTGAACAATAAAGATTTAATTTAAAAAAAATGAAACTTTTTTGCCTGAGTGGAGCTCAGAGCCGGCCAGGGCGGGTGGGAGCAAAGCCTCCTGGGCTCCAGCTCCATGGCCACGGCCGGCTGAAAGCAGGTATCTTGGGGGTTTATTTACCTTCTATAATTGAAACTTTGTTGCTCTGAGTGTAGCTTAGAGCTGGCCACGGCAGGCGGGGAACCTTGGCTTCCTCCATCATTGGAGCAAGCAAGCCTCCTGCTTGTTCCAGCTCTGTGGCTGCCAGCCACCATCTTTGTTGGCAGTTAATTTGCATATCTTGCTGATTAGCCAATGGGAGGCGTAGCAAAGGTATGGTCAATTGCCATGTTTGTCTATTATTAGGTAAGATACCGGAGGTCCAGTGCACAAAATTCATGCACGGGTAGGGTCCCTAGGCCTGACCAACGATCAGGGTTGATCTGTAGAGCGACTGGCAAGGCAATCGGGGGGCCCCCTCTGGCATCCTCCTTGTCTGGCCTGGCGCTTCCCACTCGCCATCCCTGCCTCCGCCGCCACTGCTGCCACTGGTCGCCTCCCTCTGTGGGGTGACTGGTGGGGCAATCAGGAGGCCCCTGCTGGGACCCACCTTTGTTAGCATGCCATCGCCCACTTGCCAGCCCCGCCACCCATCTCCCACCTCCCTCTGAGGGGCAACTGGCAGGATGTTGGAGGGGGACCCCTGCTGGCATCCGCCTTGGCTGGCCTGGCACCGCCCACTCGCCAGCCCTGGACCCCGCCTCTGACCATCGGGGCCTGCGGGCTGGGGGCAGCTCCTGTGTTGAGCGTCTGCCCCCTGGTAGTCAGTGCCTGTCATAGCAATCGGTTGTTCCACCAGTCATTCTGCCGTTCAGTCGATTTGCATATTAGGCTTTTATTATATACGATAAGCTCTAAGACAGTATTTTTGTCAGTTTTCTTTCCCAGTGCTCAGAGCACAGTACCATGCAATATTTTTAAATGCATAAAACAATAAACAGATAAGGTTATCTTCAAAACAGTATCTGATAAGACTGTATAAAATGGTCCCTTACCGCCAAGACCGGTTTGGCTCAGTGGATAGAGCGTCGGCCTGCGGACTGAAGGGTCCCAGGTTCGGTTCCGGTCGGGGGCGTGTGCCTTGGTTGCGGGCACATTCCCGGTGGGGGGTGTGCAGGAGGCAGCTGATCGATGTTTCTCTCTCATCGATGTTTCTGACTCTCTATCTCTCTCCCTTCCTCTCTGTAAAAAATCAATAAAATATATTTAAAAAAATAAAAAATAAAAAAAAATAAAATGGTCCCTTACCATTCAAACTGACATTTTCTCAGTATCACATGAAATAAATCAACTTTTAAAAAACTGATTAATTAATTTATTTTGTTAATCCTCACCCAAGGATATTTTTCCATTGATTTTTTTTTAAATATATTTTATTGATTTTTTTAACAGAGAGGAAGGGAGAGGAATAGAGAGTTAGAAACATTGATCAGCTGCCTCCTGCACACTCCCTACTGGTGTTGTGCCCACAACCACGGTACATGCACTCGAACCGGAATCGAACCTGGGACCCTTGAGTCCGCAGGCTGACGCTCTATCCACTGAGCCAAACCGGTTAGGGCTCCATTGATTTTTAGAGAGAGTGGAAGAGAGGGGGAGAGACAGAGAGCAACATCAATGTGAGAGAGACACATCAATTGGTTGTCTCCCGCATGCCTAAAAAATAGACATAATGTGGATTAGTTTCCAAAAAGGAATAATAGTAATTACCTACCCGTTTTGCTCCAAAGTGACTTTTTAAAAAATCAGGTGCCTACATCCTATATAATAAAAGCCGAATATGCAAACTGACCAACAGTGGAATCACTATGATGCACAATGACCACCAGGGGGCAGACGCTCAATGCAGGGGCAGACGCTCAACGCAGAAGCTGCCCCCAGCCTGCAGGCCCCAGGCCAGCCAAGGCAGGTGCTAGTGGGGGCCCCCTGATCGCCTCGCTGGCTGCCCTGCAGAGGGAGGCAACCGGCGGCGGTGGCAAGGGGCAGGAGTTGGGGCTGGCAAGCAGGCGGCACCAGGCCGGCCAAGGTGTGTGTGAGCAAGGACCCCCGGTCGCCCCACAGATCAGCCCTGATCACCATCCAGGCCTAGGGAACCTACCCGTGCACAAATTTCATGCACCAGAACTCTAGTTTGTATATAAAGATTTCTGGTACCAAGAATTAACCAATCAGACATAACCTTATTATGCAACATGGCCAACAGATGCAACTCTATTGTATGACCTATATATTTATGGTTCAAGACAGGGCATTCACACTGGATGGCTATTGTTGTGTTGGCTATTGTCATTTTTTCATTGACAATCTAAGGGAAAAGAGGTCAGTGCCCCTGACTAGTTAGGTATTGCTTGTTTTAAAAATTCTTGCAGCACACCCGTTGAAAACCACTGCTTTATATCAACAAAATAGTCTTCCACACAAATGTTCTCATCTGATCCTCAACAATCCTTTGAGGTCTGTGTAAAGCAAATAACAAAAAGCCTAGAGGTGAGAAAACATACTTTAATCCTCAAAGCATGACATAATAATGTCAAAACTGGAATGAAGTCTCTTGATTTCTACGCTACCATACCTCCTCTTGCAAATGATATTAAAACAGACTATAAAATCACATAGCCATATATTATGCTGAAGATACTAAGCTTTCCCAAGCCATTCAGTGTCTATGCAGAATGGAAACAAACAAATTCAGTTCAAAAAAGTCACAATCTCAACTTGAGGAATAAGAATTCAAACTGCTTCCTGTCACTTACTAGTATAAGTCTAACCCAGAGTCCAATGACATTTAGGAAGAATTTAAGGAATTAGTTGTTATACTGCACAAGAAGGAAGTTCTTACTAAGCTATGACAATTGCTAGAAAAAAGGGAGAATAGAAAGGTAAATGAAACCAGTGAATGGAGAACTGAGTTCTAAAGAGGAAAGTCAAGGTTATATCATTATTTTATAGTGCTCTGACTGCCTAAGTGATGCAATTTTGCAATAAAGGAAAAAAGACATACCTCCTCAAAATCCCAGCACAACAGCTTTCCTTTCTTTGCATAGATGAGGATGAAACGTTGTAATCCAAAATGTTCCCAAAAAGGTTATTTTTTTTTAAAGACATAGAAATAGAAGATCCATATGAAGAGAGATCCAATCTGGGAGGATGGAGACTATCTTCTAAATCTTGTGATCAAGAGCAGCTGTTTACCAAGTATCAGCATCTGAAGAAAGTGCTAACTGCAGTTGTGTCTTCTGAAGAGAGTAATACCTGCTGGGACAGAGTAAAAGAAGGAAAAAGAAATACTACTGAATGCAAATGAGTGGCTGGCAAACAATTACCACTCATTAGTCTCAACATTTTTCAAGTTGGTATTAATGAATATTAAAAGATCAAGTGGAGGTAAATACAAGTGGGTGAGCCAACTGATAACAGGGTTATCAAAGACAGCAGCAATCAAAAGAACACTTCAGTCCTAGCCAGGTATTTCAGCTGGTTAGAATGTAGTCCCAATAAGCCAAAGTTCCAGATTCGATCTCCAGTCAGGTCACATACAAGAAGCAACCAATGAATGCATAAATAAGTGGTACAACAAATCGATGTTTCTCTCACTCCCCCCACCCCCACCAATCAATAAATAAAATGTAAAAAAAAAAAAACCAACAACAAAGGTATCCAGTTCTCTATTTCACGTTTTTTATAGTAAGACTAGTGACCTGGTACACGGATTCATGCAAATTGAAAGGAAATTAATTAGAAGGTGGCTGGCCAGGCGGGACTGGGTAAGACGAGCCAAACACGCCCTGGAACCAACCTCCCACGGTCCCTTCCTGTTGGCCACACCTGGGGCAGCGCCATGGCTCAAAGGGCATCTGCACAACTGAGCAAGGTCCCTCTGGCAGGTGGGGTCCCTCGGCCTGGCCTGCAGGGATCAGGCCCAAACTGGCTCTCCAACATCCGCTGAGGGATCCCGGATTGCAAGAGGGCAGTTCACCGCAACTCCGCAGCTCCTGCATTGAGCGTCTGCCCCCTGGTGATCAGTGCGTATCATAGCTACTGGTTGGAGCATCTGCCCCCTGGTGGTCATTGAGTGTCATAGCTACCAGTTGGACAGTTGGTCAGATAGTCGCTTAGCTATATATATATATATATATATATATATTCTATGGACACAGACAATAGTGTGGTCCTAAGGGGCGGGGGCAGGCAGGTGTGAACTAGAAGGAGTCAATGAGGGGAAAAAGAGGGCATCTATAATATTTTCAACAATAAAAATAAATTTAAAAAAATTTAGGGAAAAGAGTGTGACCCCCAAACCTTGATTTTCACATTATTAGGCAGAGATGTGGCTGGGAAAACACTGTGATTTCAAAAAACAGAGTAGGTGTGAAAGTGAAATTCTAATTACTTAAGTTTAAACCTTATTTATATTTAAGGCCTGGATGAGTGAGTGTAGCAATTACCACAGATTCTGAACTAGCTGTAACACAAAACATAAGATAACCCTCTCTTTTTTTTTACCTCTTTCCT